ACAATCAAATCCTGCATGTTTTGTAACATTTAACCCGAAAAAGGCAAATGAGGGAAAATCTGTGTTGGAGGTGCTGCTGGACAGGGCGATATAGGGGAGGTTCACGCTCATGCCCCCAGGGACTGGCAGAGGAGATCATGCCACCAGCCCCTGCCAGCCTGGTCAGTGTGGTCTCAGCTGACTGCAGGAATTCCCAGCACTACAGGAAGAAGACCAATGATCTTCTCCACTACACCAAGAGCCATACTCTCCTCTCTATTTCCATACACTCACTCTCTCTCTCTGTGACTGCATCCAGCTCTGTCCACGGCTTATGCTCTACCACTGTCTCCCTGCTCACTCTCTCCCAACCCAATCCACCCACATCACTGACCCTGCATGCCCTTTGTGCTGCCAACTCACTCACCTGGGACACCTGCACCAGCACCCAACAGCTGTGCCACCCTCTTTCATCTCACTTCATCCAGGAGGAAATGGCCCATAACAGGGTAGAAAGAGCTGGATGTGCAGTGGGATGCCAACAAAGAGCTGACGGTCCTCACCCTGACCACCCTAAGCAGCTGAATGATGGTGGTCAAGCCCCTGGATTGATATGAGAGGCTGCCCTTTCATACTGTGTCAATACCCCTTGCCTGAAGGGTGTCTCAGTTAGCCCTGTGCTCCTGTGAGGAAGTGAAATATCCGGAAGGAAAAGATCAGTCAACTGAAGAAATTGAGAAACTAAAGGAAACCCTCCACTGATTCCTAAAGACTGGTGCCATTGAACTGCCTTTTCCCTTCGGATTTTATTTTCCCTCCATACCTAAGACCAATTCTTATTTATTCAGCTGTCTCTGTGTGTAGAGACGTTTTCGAAGGGGGTCAGAGTTTTAACTAGAAGAGTTATACGTCAGCTGTTCATATTTCTCTGGCTAGAATCTATTTATTTCTAATAAATAGTAGTTCTTGTAAGCTTAGAAACCTGGTTAGCGTTTTATGTTAACCTGGGTCCACAGGTAATTGGACACTTTATGTACTTTGATAACATTTTTAACTTTGTGAAACTCCAGATATAGTGCGTTATGTTACCCCAGTGAGCAGAGCACTCCACATAACCAACATTTGTCTTCCCTGGTGATAGGCTTGTAAATTTCCTCTGTCCTTGACATCTGCCCATAACGTGTGATGTGTCAGAATCAAACTTAATTACTCCATCTGAGGCCTAAGTGGTGTTTTATAAAGGGTTAGTGTGATTTCCTTGTTTTTGTACTCCACATTATCAAAGTGAAGGATTGCATATGCTCTTGTAACAATTTTTTAACATGCCCTACCACTCTCGGTGCTTCTTTTCTTGTGTCCCTTTAAAATTGTGCCTTTTTTCATTTGTCGAAAGGATGTGAGCATCTTTGGCTAGGCCAGGATTTATTGCCTGTCCCTAATTTCCCTGGAGAAGGTGGTGGTGTTCTACAGTCCTTGGGGTGTAGGAGTACACACTGCTGCGAGGATGGGAACTCTAGGATTTTGACCCAGTGGCACTTCACAAATGGTGATATATTTCCAAGTCAGCATGATGAGTGGCATGAAGAGGAATGTGTACATGGTGCTGTTCCAACGTACCTTCTGTCCTATTCTTTCTAGATAGAAGAGTTTGCAGGTTTGGAAGGTGCTGTCCAAGGAGCCTTGGTTACATCTTGTAAACAGTACACACTGTGAACTACTGAGCGTTGGTGGTGACTTGTACCTTTGAGATGGTTGAAAGGTTTTGAGGTGTTGGGGGGGAGGTGGGTGGGGGGGACGTTACTCGCTGCAGGATTCCTAGCCTCTAACCTACTTTTGTCAAAGTATTTATAGGCTGATACCATTCAGTTTCTGGTCAATGGTAACTGTCAAGATATTGATAATGAGGGAATTCAGTGATAGTAATGCCATTGAAGGTGAAAAAGTGATGGTTAGAATCTTTCTTGTTGGAGATGGTCATTTCTGGTAATTGTGTGCCATGAATGTTACTTGCCCCTTGTCAGCACAAACTTGGATATCATCCAGGTCTTTCTGCAGTTCCACACGGGCTGCTTCAGGATCTGAGGTGAAATGAATGGTGCTGAACATTGTGTAATCACCAGCGAACTTTGCCTTATGATGGATGAATCTGCTGAAGATGATTGGTTCTAGGACACTACCCTGAGGAACTCCAGCAGAGATGTCCTGGAGCTGAGATGACTGACCTCCCACAACCACAACCATCTTCCTATGTGTCAGGTATAACTGCAATCAGCAGAGAGTTTCTCTCCCGATTCTAATGAACTCCAGTTTTACTAAGGCTCCTTGATGTCACAGTCTGTCACTCTCACCTGACCTCTGGAATTCAGCTCTTTTGTCCATGTTTGAACCAAGGCTGTAATGAGATCAGGAGCTGAGTGGCCCTGGTGGAAACCAAACTGGGCGTCACTGAGCAGGTTATTGCTGAGCAGGTGCTGCTTGATAGCGCTGTTAGTGACACCTTCCATCACTTTACTGATGACCGAGATTGACTGGGGCAGTAATTGGTCAACATAGATTTTTCCTGCCTTTTGTGTACAGGATAGTTAAAAATACAACTGGAAAAAAAAGAGATGAAAGAAGAAAATGGTTGGGATAAAGACCAGGAAGGGAAAACTGAGAAGTGAAAGGACCAGACTTTTGTAGGGGTGCAGGTGCAGAAGGGATTAATGAGTACAGCAATACTTGAGAAAGAAAGACTAGACAGGAGACAGTGATAGTTTTACAAAGGCTCTTTATATTTTGTATTGCTTGGAGGACTTAAATTTTGAAGGATTGTGATCAAAGGAGTTTATTTCATGTTTATGGACACACCTTGAGTGGTTTCTTTGAAAGAGGTCACTGAAACTTGGCTCTGAGAACTTTGGAGAGAGATTTAGTTGGGTTAGAGATTCCAGCCATGCCGGTGTTGGACTGGGGTGAACAAAGTCATAAGTCACATGATACCAGATTACAGTCTTGACGAAATGCTCTGAAAGCCTGTGATTTCAATACATCCGTTGGACTATAACCTGGTGTCGTGTGACTTCTGACTCGGTTAGAGATGGTGATGGAAAAGCTCCAGAAAGCTAAAATGAGAAAGGTAAGCAACAAGTGGGCAACTAAAAGGAAGGTGAAAGAGAGAAAGATATGCTTTAGTGAGGCTGTGGATTTTTGTGGACAGAGCCAGAGAGCAACAAAGAAAGGGGGGAGGGTCAGATACATATGCAAATACACAGGGCCAGAAACAGTAAAACAGATTCATGGAGGGACAATTTGAACTAATCGCCTGCAATATGTGTAAAACGCACAAATGGATTTGGTGGAATGCTCAATACTCATCAAGAACAAGCCCACCAGGAGATATTCCAATTAATCCAGTGAGAAAACTGAGCTGAATGACAACAGGAGTATTTCTAGCCCCAGAGAAATACCATGAGATAGTTCCAAGTTGGTTTTGAAGTGACCTCCAGCAGCCTCTTCAAGGACTACAGTTCAGCCTGTTCAGTGCTGGTACAAATGGGAAGAGAATATGTGGCACATGCTCCATCACTGAATGTTGCAAATGGTGTTCCAAGCACCTCACTTTTAGATGAGTGAGGACTCTTTGCTACTCCAGCTAGGAAAACTGGGTGCTCATTTATTGGTTCACTTCAAAACTACTCATGCAAACATTTGATGTCCTAGGGAAGGCTGATGTTTCTCTGCCATTTTTCAATTGCTGGGCACTTTTCAAATGGGACAACCAGCAGTTCAAAATTTACCCTCAGAAACTCTTTGACAGATACAGAGTGAGACAGAGACATAAACCATCAGATATGGAGTGAGAAAACCCTAGAGGAAAGTATACACCTGCAGAACAAAACTACTGAGAAAAACAAAGGAATGTTGTATCAAAGAGACAGATGCATTAGAGAATCATAAGGAAAAAAAGATTTTTATAAACCTTCTGCAAAAAATATATTAAACTTTAATTTGCAATCTTCTAACTGAGAATATTAATGTTAGATGCATTCTGAAAGCCTAATGGCTTCTGGCACACAGTGGCAGCTCTTGATCCTTACCATCCAGCTGTCAAAAGATCACACACCTAGTAGAGTTCTATTCACGAGAGCTTATAATTAGCAGAGAATGATGCCATTTACTCTTTCCTCGTTTGATAATTCATGGGCTGCAAGAATGGAATGAATTTAGTCTAAGTGAAACACGGCGATTAAAAATTCAATTATTTGTGTAATTGAAATGCCTGTTCCTTCAAAAGGAAGGATGGAGCTAATAGGCACCTGGGCATCCAGGCAAATAGTGGCACCATTATACCCATGAGCAATCAAATAGATCAAATTTACATCAGGAAATTGAGCATAAACTCACACAGAGAAATACACTCTGAACGCTAGCAAACAGGATAATTCATGCCTTTAGAAATGACACATATAATCTAGCCGTCATTCTATAGAAAGAGATGCATTCAAATGTAATAAGCACTTTTACGTGAGTTTTTATACAGTGTTGGAGAGAAGGAAAGCCGGGTGGGGTTAAGGCTGAGTTTAAAGTTACCATTCTAAGACAGAAGAGGTTTCAGCATTTAAATTCTTCATGTGCTGACTGATTGATCCATCTTTGCAATGGACAGTAAAGATTAAGAGACTGACAAATAGGCATCTACTTACAGAGTGTTACAGGCTAATCTGCTGTGCAGGCTTTAGGAGCACAGGAGCACCAGCCAGACTCATTCACACACTGACTCCTCAGATACACAAGAAGAGCTCAAGACTTGCAGAAATTAAGCAGGGGAGAGAGACACGGAAATCCAGCAACTGCACATGCAACATTTCCTATCTAAACTCTGGACGCTGCCTTCTTCCGAAGAGCTGGATTTTCTCTTTATTCCAAAGGTTGGATTTTTCCTCAATCCAAGATTTTGGCATCGGCTGACCAGTTGCTCCCAGGCTGCCCAGGAAGAAGTTTTGTAGACAGAGACCAGCTCCTGCGCTTTGAGAAGAAAAATGAGCAGCTCCTCCGTCGAGTCATTAGTCAGCCCAGGGCTGGAGGACAGCCAGACAGGTACAAGCGATTGAATGAGAGAGAGAGAAAGAGAAAGATTGACCAAGAGACAGTGTGTGAGTGTGTGTGTGTGTGTGTGTGTGAGAGAGAGAGACGATCGCAACTAGAGGTCAAACAGGTATGAGACTCAGTGAAAGATTGTAAGAGAAAAAAAAAGATGAGGAAAACCAGAACAATTGGCCAGGTTTTAGAATAGTCAGGGAGATGAGAAGGAACCTGTCAATGAGGATGAAGGTGGCAGATCAATAGGAGTAAAGATCCAGTTGAATAAGAAGGGCAGTCAGCCACAAATGAAAAGGAATCGCAAACAGATATGAAAACGAATGAGAAAGTCAAAGAGAAGAATGAATCAGACAGAAATCTGTAATAATGTGAGAAAGCAAGATGGAAAAGTGAGAATGAGGAAGACATTAAACAGTATGCAAAACAGATAGCTGATGAGTTGGGTTATAAAGTCAATTATGTCAAAGGCCAGGACTCAATTAATGTTAAAAGGAGTGGGTACCGAACACTTCAATAAAGGAAAATCAATTAAGAAAATGAAACATTTCAAATGTGCTCCAGACTGGAATGTGCATTTAAGCATTAAGAAAGGGTAAATGATAGGACTGTCAGTCTAAACATTTGTTTTAAATAATAAATCGACAATAATTTCAGAATGCATAAAAATATTGAGATGTCACTGTATTTTAATAGTATCCAGTATTTATTAATGTCAAATATACATGATAAAGAAACCTGATTATTGAAACCTCCGTTTAATAAGAAAATACTGCATTTAATCACCAACATATTTTAATTATGGTTACAGAGCTAACTTAGTGGTTACCTTGGTTCCCAGTAATACATCATTTGTATATGGATGGTATAAATGTGAATATTGATTGTTCTAATGTGCTCAGTATTTTGTGGACCTGATTGCCATTGAAGAACTTATTCTTTGAAGTGGTTTGAGAGGCTGTTCTAGGAAACCCTTGTGCCCTTTTTCGGGAATTTGAGTTAAGTTCTTAATGTGCTTCATCATAGCAACGATCATCTTGAGAGTCAAAGAGTAATAGATCCTCATCAGTATGCCATTGTTCTAAGGAAAATGTCCTCTGTTCTTTCAAATAAAGAACTGAGTCATGTATACATCATCCCCTCTCTATATTGTCATTCATATTTAATTTTAAGTAGTGCCTTCAGACAAGACAAGTGAAATGCTAAGTGAAGAGTCAAGTCAAATTCTGGTGTAGGACCATGCCTGACCTGTGGTTAGAAGTTCAATTGAGTCCAGCTAGTGACAAGTCAAGTCTAAATCTTTGTTGTGGAATCTAATCTGATTTGCCCCCTCGACTACTGTGATAAAGGTCAGTACTGAGGTGATTACACTTTGCATATTTCTGTTCTTCTTTTCAGAGAAAATTCCAAGCCCAGGAAAGTCTCTCAGTCCTGTGCTTATGTGTAAGGTCTGTGGGGATACCAGCAGTGGTAAACACTATGGTATTTATGCCTGTAATGGTTGTAGTGGCTTCTTCAAGCGAAGTGTCAGAAGAAAGCTCATCTACAGGTAGGTAAACATCATAATTTTACTCCTGTGGTAGTCTATATGTAAAAATGCTAACAGTTTGCTGTACTGTATCTCCAAAGTCACAACCTTGCATGTCAGGAAAAAAGACCCTTAGAGGTCTCCCCACAACAGGCTAACAGCTAATATTGCATGCAAAGGATCTCTGGCACTCCTGAAGTAAAGCATCAGTTGAAATGTTTTAATTTTGCAACGAGACTTGCACTTACAAACTTCTGAATCTGAGGCAGGAGTGATTTCAATATGGCCAAGCTAATACTGGCCAATGAAAATTAACTGCATGAATTATCAAGGTGATTTTATTCGCATAACTTCAGCTAATAGTCTAGGATTATAGACTGAATATATAAATTATTGTAACATAATCCCAATTCCAAGGAATTAAATGAATTCATTTACTACCATCATATAAACCCATTAAATTCAGGCAACATTTCCAAACTTTATATTGGAGATATGGGAGTAAATACGAAATAGGAACAGATGAGGACGAGAAGGCTGGTCATCCCATCAAGCCATTCATTTAGATCATTGACCACAATACCACTATCTCCAAATTGCCTAGTCTAATGTGATTAGCCTACAGAAACCTTCAATTTTTGTCATGAAGTTGTTCAAATGCACAAACTTGCACAGCCCTCTGAACTAAAATTCCAAGAAATTCACTGCCCTCAGTGAAGACATGCCTCATCTCAGTCTTGAATAGCAACTGGTGTATTTATCATAGATTCATTATAGAATCCCTGCAGCGCAGATAGAGGCCATTTGGCCCATCAAATATTCACTGACCCTCCGAAGAACATCCCACCCAGAGGTTAGAATCAAACCCAGGTCCGTAGCACTGTGAGGCAGCAATGCTAACCTCTGTGCTGCAATGCAATTAGTGCAATGCAAAATCCTCATAATGTTTAACACTCGTGGATCCCAACGATACACCTCTGTTCAACAGCAAATATCTCCTGTGAGAACTCTGTCGTCGCATTTATTTATTGGCTGTTCTGGCATCTCTGCTTTCAGGTGCCAGGCAGGTACTGGGATGTGTCCTGTGGATAAAGCCCATCGGAATCAGTGCCAGGCTTGTAGACTGAAGAAATGTTTGCAGGCTGGTATGAATAAAGACGGTGAGTCTATGCAAACGTCTCTGGCTGACAGCATCTATGAAATTATGGCTTAATGTTTTAGGCTTTAAGCAGCTATAATCCTCTAATCTCTATTATTTTTTCCATCTCTTCCCCTTAGATTCTGCCTCCCTGCTCATACTTCTTTCTTATTTATTCCTCCAGCCGTTCAGAATGAACGCCAGCCCCGTAGCACTGCCCAGGTCCGATTGGACACTGCTGAGCTTGACCCTGAAAAGGAGCACATAGCCACAACCAGAGAGCCCACTTTGTCATCTGCCAGCACCCAGAGACCAGCTTCCTCCAACATCAGTAGCACTCAGATAACCATCAGTCCACCCAACAACCATCGGTTCATGGCCAGCCTGATGACCGCTGAGACCTGTGCCAAGCTGGAGCCTGAGGACGGTCAGTAATGGGGTCCTAATCCCTTCTACATCACTTCTTTACTGTGTATGCAACTCCACTGATTAAAGCATTAATGCAGCTCGGTAGAAATTAGATCTGCAACCAGTTTATAAAATCAGTTTAAGGATTGTAAATTTTCTCCCTTTCACTCCCGATTACTTGTCTGGTCCTGCCAAAGCACATGCTCTTCACATTTAAACCTAAACCACATGCAACCATCCACTGAGGCAAATCCTATATGTACATCACACTTTCACACATTACCTTGCTGCCACTGATACTAACATGAGCAGGAACGCAGCCTGATTTACCACTTCCTATCCAATGTGGCTCAACACCTCTCTGGCTGAGATTGATTTACTCAGCAGAAATTGGTGATTGAAGCCATAAGGAAGAATTCAAGGTCATATGTTTCATGACAAGTGAGCAGTCATTGCACTGATCTGGGTCACTAAAAGGAAAAGGATCAGAAAGCCAATATCTGTGGCCACAGAGAGTTGGGACCATTAGTGAGTGTTTCCCTGTTATATATTCTGCTTGCAGTGGATGAGAACATCGATGTGACAAGCAATGAGCCAGAGAGGACATCCACCGAGTACCAGATATCCATTTATCCTCCGAGTAGTCTCGAGAACGTGTATGAGACTTCCGCCAGATTGCTTTTCATGGCAGTTAAATGGGCCAAGAATCTTCCAGTCTTCTCTAATCTGCCATTCCGGGACCAGGTATCTCAGTAGACCATTGGTAGGGGTTGGGGCAGAGGGGACACTGGACTAAACTGCAACATTGAACGATAAGGGATTAATGTTCAATTCCAACATTACACACTACATGTCTTCTGAAACATTTGAATCTGGGTTGGGGATTGGAACCTGAGGCTCAGAGATGTATAGTCAGGTTGCACTTTCAGTTTTGCAGGTTAATCTAATTCTTCCTTCATGAGGGTATCATAAGTTCAATCTTATTTGGATACATTTCTATTCTGTTATCCAACTGAATCAATGAGAAATAAAAAGGAGTGAAAATAAACCAAGATTAACAAAAAAAGGGTAAAGATGATTGGAAAGGTAAATTAACAAACTTGTAATTCAGTGATGCAGAGCTAGGAACTTCAAAGCTTTTAGAAGGAAAAACCAACTGAAGGAGTTAAGGTAGAAGATTGTGCAACAGATGTTCATTTCAATTGAGGAAAACATACGGAGCAAGAAAAGTGATGAAAATGGTTGACTGTAATGACCTCAAGGCAGCTACAGCTGGCAATAAACGTGGCACTAACCAGTATCACCCATGAACTAAGAATTGTGGAGCTAAAGAGCAAGATGTGAGAATTAGAAGAGCATAGATGACAGACATATTGACAATAAAAATAGAAAATACTGGAAATATTCAGCAAGTCTGGCAGAATTTGTGGACAGAGAAACAGTTAATGTTACAGATGCCTGCCTACCAGAACTTTCTGACAGAAGGTCAACCTGAAACATTAAGTCCACAGCTACTGCCAAACCAGCTGAGCATTGCCAGCGTTCTCTGTCTTCATTTCTGACTTCCAGCAACTGTAGCATTTTTGCTTTTGTAAAAGCATTGGCCTGTTGAATGTTCCTGCCCATCAACAAAATAATTTTTCTGATGCAGGTGATTCTGTTGGAGGAAGCCTGGAATGAGCTCTTCCTGCTCTGTGCTATCCAGTGGTCCATGCCATTGGAAAGTTGCCCTTTGTTGTCATTACCTGAACTCTCTCATTGCCCTCAGGGCAAGAGTAGTCCTGCTGTGGCTGACATCCGCATACTGCAGGAGATCATGAGTCGATTCAAGGCCATTGCTGTGGACCCCACCGAGTTTGCATGTCTGAAGGCTGTGGTACTCTTTAAACCAGGTGAGCAGAACCAATTCATCCAATTCTCTTAGGCAATACGTCCAATCTATTTGTTATCCCTGTAGCCAATTGCTGTTGCAGCAAATCAAAGTGCACAGAGACCATTAGCAAACTGAATTCCAGTGATAGAGGAACAGACAGTGGTGTAACACATTATAAAGGAGGCAGATTCTTAAATATGCTAATATGATAAAGACTTAAGTAAAATCATCTTAAATTATACATTTAAGGTAAAATGAATGGAAGTTTGCTACAGACAAATTTGGTAGTGAAAGTCGTTCTGAATTTCCACTGGAGGTAAGTATTAATTATCTACTACGTCTGTGTATGGACAATGTTGACATAGTGGTATTGTCACTGGACTCGTAATCCAGAGGTCTAGACTATTGCTCTCACAACAGATTGAAAATCCACGATTGCAGCTGGAGGAATTTAAACTCAGGCAATAAATCTTGAATATTAAAAAAAAAGTTAGCCTTAGCAATAGTCTCATGAAACTACCATAGATTGTAAATGAACAGAAGGAAATCTAATAAAAACCGAAAGAACTGTGGATGCTGTTAATCAGAAACAAAAAAGAAGTTGCTGGAAAAGCTCAGCAGGTCTGGCAACATCTGAGAAGAGAAGTCAGAGTTAACATTTCGGGTCCGGTGACCCTTCTTCAGAACTGTTGCCTTCCTTGGTTGGACTGGCCTACTCCAGGCCCACAATAATGTGGTTGACTGTTGACTGCCCTCTAAACTGACGTGATGAGGCACTCAGCCCAAGGGCATTTAGGGACGGGAAGCAAATGCTGGCTTTGCCAGTGATGGCTACATCCCATGAACAGAAAGAAGCCCTGATTCTTTTGTGATGTACAGTATGAGTAAACACAACATTCTGAACTTTTGGCGGTGGCCATGTGCATGGATTTATTCACAAGATTTGTACAAATTTCACTGGGATACTAGGGCTGTTCCATAATAATTGACACGTTCCGGGCTATTTGTTTTACCCAGTTTCTTCCATCCTCTCCTGAAGATGCTGACTCATCTTAAGATACACTTCCATAGCCACTCGCCAACATACAGTATCTTATCCAAGTGGGTATTGTTTGTGTGCCATCCCAGATGACTAGCATACAGGTATATTGACTGTAGGTACCAAGCAAGTCCTCTCTTTATGTTCACATAGTTATCCTGTGAAATCTGATGGAAGCACAATCTACAGCTTCAACAAGGGGCTGTTTTGACTCCCTAGATCAAGAATGCTAAGATCAAATGGACATCCCCAAATATCCATGCCACACCAGCATGGACTGGGAAAGCAACCCTCTGTGTCCTTTAGTGTGATTACTAACTATGTAAAGACATACAAGTGTATTTTCTAATAGAATCTTAGGAGAATTTCCCTGCAGTGAAATAGATATTCACCTATACCATGTTCTTCTTCAGAAACAAGGGGTTTGAAGGACCCAGAGCAGGTGGAGAATCTACAGGATCAGTCTCAAGTGATGCTGGGTCAGCACAGCAGGACACATTACCCAATCCAGCCAGTTAGGTAAGGAAAGGCAGATCATCAAACAATTCTCTGCCGAAACTACACTTGTTATTCAATACCAAATGATTCTTGCAGGTCACATGCTCATTATCATGCTGGTGTCAGATATAAAAATGAATTGGATTATTACGCAGCACAACTATTAAATACAGACATTAAAAGAGAAGAGGAAAATAGACCATCTATTAGTATTCCCCTTAACGTCAGTTACCACAAACCTGTCCTTCTTGGAACTGCAGTAACTAACTCCTGGGGGTTTTAAAAAAACAGTTTTGAGTATTTGTCTCCTTCAGATGAAATGTTGAACTGGAGTCTACTTACCTGATCAGGTGGATATTAAAAATGCTATGGCAATTCAAAAATAAACAGCAAGTTCCTATTCTAACCATCATCATCCAAAGAGAGGTTAATTGGATTGCATTGTTGTTAATTGCAAGACTTTGCCATGTGTAGATGTCTATCATATTTATACATCTAATTGCACTAACTCCACAATGTAACTCATTATTGTTTAAGAGCTTTGGACTTTTCTAATACATTATAAGGCATTTCCTCAATCTGAACTTGATCCTTCTCTTTGCTTTGTTGATTTGTGGTTCTATTTGTTGATGTATATTTTCAAAAGGTTTTTCGCTCAGGGTTAGTTGTCTGATTATTTTCTTATTCATTTTTTTCTCAGATTTGGGAAGTTGCTGCTCCTCCTACCATCACTCCGTTTTGTCTCTTCAGAACAAATTGAGCTGCTATTTTTCCACAGAACCATTGGTAATACTCCCATGGAAAAGCTTCTCTGTGACATGTTTAAGAGTTGAATGTCCCAAGCAGCATCTCCTACTATGTACTGACCCCTCCCTCTTCCTAACACCTTCTAGGCCCGAAACGTCAGCCTTCCTGCTCTTCTGATGCTGCTTGGCCTGCTGTGTTCTTCCAGCTCTACACCTTGTTATCTCAGATTCTCCAGCATCTGCAGTTCCTACTATTTCTGAAACAACCTTCTACTGTCTGTTCCTTGTATGTTCTTGCTAACTGCCCAAAAACATTAAGTCCTCTGTCTGCAATCACCACTAAGGCACTACGCCCTGTGATACCATGTCCCTGACATGTCACCCTACCTATTTATTATTGTCTCACATATCAAATTCTATCCCAACATTTTACATACTCAGTTTTCCCAAACAACTAACGTTTCAAACCTTTATAATTTTTAAACGTATGAAGATTGAATATATTTCTATACAAGAATAAAACTGAAATCTGGTTACCCCACTTGCTTGTTGTTCAGCTGTTTTCTTCAATATGGAAATGTTACTGGGGAGAAAGGTCTTAACCATTACCTGCTGCATACTAATACTGAACACAAAGAAAAGCTGGCATATAAAAATTTCAAGAAGACCAAATTATGGCGAGGAGAAGGGTGCTTGGAGGACTGAAACATAGGTGACACTAAGTAATAATCCAGTGTAAGAAGAAGCATTTTTAAGGAATGCAGGAAAGCTGAAAATCTTTTTGAGAAAAATAGAACATTCGCCACAGGCCAGCAAAACTCAAAACTATTTCATGAGCTCAAGAAATGAGAGAACATTCAGAAAAGTTGCGGACAAATTAATGACAATATTGAACATGAATTTCATGAAGAATTATAGTTGAATTAAAGACAAGGCATTAAAAAACATTTTTGCTTCGTAGTCCCTCATGAGATTATTTTAAAAAGGTGATAGGGGAATAAAAGGGAGGAATAAATACTTTTGGTAATTGACAAGCTCTATGAAGGCCAAAAGCTTGCTATCTGCTGAAAGAATAGATGATGCTTTAAATCAACTGGTTGTGATATCTAATATCAAGCCTCAGTTTTAAAACTTTCTTTATTCAAGCTGGAAGACCAAAAGATGTTACGTTCGACAATTTTATTAGATTCTGAGAGAATGAGTGAGAGCAATTAAATCAATTCTTCAAGAAGTTGTGTTTTGTAGAAAGACAAAGAATTAAATACTTACACTGTTTTTGGAACTGCAAGATATGCCCTGAAATTCCTGAAGGGAATGAAACATAAAATATGAGAGTCTAGTTTGTGTTTTTAAGAAGCTCTGAATATAATACCAAGACTGTTCTGGATATCAGTAGTGACTTGTATATCAAACAAAATGGTTGGTGCCATGGAACTATAGAGGAATCACTGACTCGTAGAAGGGGTTAATAAAGTGATTACGGACACAGGTGTTCACATGATAAGGAAGAGTTCAGGAATTGGACTCAATTTTGTTGAGAAATGAGGAGAGATTAAATTAACTTAACAGAAGTTTTAACATTTGAATCAAAGTAGCAATATTGATCTTCCAAATTGTTCATCGCACACCAGGCAAAGAAAACATGAAGTAAGGGAAGAGATAGTAAGAACTGCCGATGCTGGAGTCTGAGATAACACAGTGTGCAGCTGGAGGAACACAGCAGGCCAGGCAGCAACAGAGGAGCAGGTAAGCTGACATTTTGGGTCAGGCCCCTTCTTCAGAAAAATTTTCTGAAGAAGGGTCCCGACTCGAAATGTCAGCTTTCCTGCTCCTCTGATGCTGCCTGGTCTGCTGCGTTCTCCAGCTCCACACTGTGTTATGAAGTAAGGGAAGACTGGTGAGGTTGTGGAGAGGGAAAGGATTAATATAACAAAAGCTTTGCTAGACTTCTGGCCTACTTAACACACAATGCCCTGTAGTCTCATCGGTTTTAATCTATATTTGAAAGTGTATTCAAACCAGGATCTGGGCCTATTGCTAATAATTTAACTGGGGTTTTTCCATGATTTAACGGTGAATATTGAAGGCATTGTTTGGAACAGATGACCCAGTGAAAGTCAACTTCAAGCCAATTAAATCAATACCTCAAGAAAAGTCTCAGGTTTGATTCCAGGTTTTGTTGAAGTCACGTATGAAGAAAGACAAAGAATTAAATACTTACACTGCTCCTTGAACCATCAAGATATGCTCTGAAATTCCTGAAGGGAATGAAAAGTGAAATATCAAAAATGGAACAAAGTATTTCTTCAGAACCTTGTGGAGAAAGGGCAAAGAAAATTCCAGCTGTTCTTCAGTGATAGCGAAGTTCTAACACTAGTCAAACTTGTGGTATTTGTGCAAATGGCTCTTCCCCATGATTTAGAAGTCAATTAAATGGATGTCTCAGCCATAGGCCAAGTCCAAGATCACAAGTTAATTTGTAGCAAAAAAGAATAAACTATTGCAGGAAGTTCTAGTGCCTGGCCTAAATAGATCTGTCACTGAGCAGCCAGGAGTGAGATATAACATGAACATTTGTCATTTAAAGCTCCTCATAAGAGGTAACTAAATTAAACAGTCTTCGACTTGGACATGTGGAATATTACTGCTGGCATTCTGTATGATGCACTTTCATCAAGCACAGAAAATATATCAACTATAACTGGAGAGGCAAAGTAAAGCTGAATAGTTCTTTCTGTGCTAGTTAGTTGCATTATATGAGCTGGTTAAACTACAGTATATCACGATGCATGTTTATCATGCCAAAACTGTGGCTCTTGACAATAAAACGTAGAATCCATAGAATCCCTGCAGTGTGGAAACAGGCCATTTGGCCCATCAAGTCCACACTGACTCTTTGAAGAACATTCCACCCAGATCCACCCCATCCCTGTAACCCTACATTTCCTATGGCTAATCTATCTAGCTTGCACATCCCTAGATACTATGCTCAATTTGACATGGCCAATCCACCTAACCTGCACATTTTTGGAATGTGGGAGGAAACCCACGCAACAACGGGAGAACGTGAAATCTCCATACAGAAAGTCACCCAAGGCTGGAATTGAACCCGGATCTCTGGCACTAAGAGGTAGTAGTGCTTTTGCATTCTATGTTGGACACACAAATGTAGTATACATTTCTCAGCAGCTTAGTTTGGAGGCCTAAACATGGTAACAGATTTCTGTAATCATATGACACACAGCTGAACAAAGAGAGAGAGATTAGTGCTTGGTTTAATATTAGCAGGATGCTGCCCAGTTAGGTAGGTGGTGGCAGGGATTGGTCAAACTTGTCCATCTTCTTTCCCACCTATCCGCTCCTCCCACCTCACTGACCAATCTCCACCACTGCCTACCTGCAACCACTATCACCATTCCACATACCTTCCCCAGCCCCACCCCACCCCTATTTATTTCTGAGCTCCTTTGCCCCTCCCCCATTTCTGAAGAAGGGTCCCATCCCGAAACGTCAACTTTCCTACTCCTCTGATGCTGCCCGGCCTGCTGTGTTCCTCCAGCTCCACACTGTGTTACCTCTGACTCCAGCATCAGCAGTTCTTACTATCTCTGAAAGCGGATGGATCCAGGTTGTAAAGACAATGAGTTTAAATTTAATATTTTGGAGGACACACAAGATCAGGTCAATGCTGGTGGACCTGATGGAGAGCAGAATTTTGCATAGAGCTGGAAATTGCTTCACACCAACACCCAACACCAACTCAACTTCAAACCAACACAGCACAAAAGTCAGAATCGTATTGAAAAGCTTCTAGTTTGTGTGTTATCCACTGCTATTAACCATTGAGAGATAGAAATCTTGCAACATCTGTTTCTGTTCCTTTCCCATTCATGAACAGCTGTGATGAAAACTTCAATTTTTTTATTGCTTTGTCTCTGTACACGTGTGGCTTTTCACTATTGCTCTGAAGACTGTCAGATTCATTGTTAAAACATCTAGGGGACATGTTTCTAAAGAATAAAGCTCTTTACTGCTGGCATGTGCTCAAAATAAGACTTCCGATTGTATTTTAACATTTTTAATGCTTAGATATTTAGGAAAAAGCCACAACCCCTATTCAGGGTTAACACAACATAAAGTGACTTTTTTTTTCAAATTTCACTTGTCTCAAGGATATCCTGAAAGGATTCCATTCCATCCTCCCAGTTTGTGTGTCTCAACTATTCTGATGATGCTACCTTCTGCTGGACTGCCTCTGACATGACCACCTTTTTCCTCAACTGAGGACTCCACAACTCAACGCCTTCAGCCCTTCCACCCCTTCTCAGAATAATGAAAGAATTCCACTTGACCTTACTTATCATGCCCCTAGGCTTTGCATTCCAAGGATCATCCTCTGCCATTTCAGCCAACTTCAGCAGGATTCCACTACCAAACACATCTATCCCTCCCCTCATCAGTATTTTTCCATGACACCCTGGTCCACTCCTCAATCACTCCTAATGCTTTCCCCATGACACCTTACCATGCAATTGCAGAAGATGTAACACTGTCTATTCACCACCTCCCTCCTCATTGTCCAAGACTCTAATTATGCCTTCCAACTGAAGTGCACTTCTACTTCTTTCAATCTAGTGTACTGCATTCACAGCTCACAATAGTTTCATTCACCTTAAAAAGATACCCCCTGGTTTTGAACTCCTCCACCTTAGGGAAAAGATCTTTGCTGTATACCTTATCTACGTCCCTCGCGATTTTCATTGACAGGACCAAACACAGACTGGGCGACTGTTTCGCAGGACAACTCCGTCCTGACTGTAGGAATGACCCTGACCTCCCAGTTGCTTACCATTTCAATAAACCACCTTGCTCTCATACAAACATTTCTGTCCAGGGCTGCCTGCAATGTTCCAACAAAGCACCACATAAGCTCAAGGAATGCCACCTTACTTTCTGATTAGTCACACGTAGACTCGAGGCCTCAATACCGAATTCAATTACTTCAGAAATTGACCTCAATGTTCTTTTTTTTACATTCACCTCCACCCACAGCCATGTTGTGTTTATGACTTCTTTACTTTGCACTC